AACCCCGGTGGGTTGGAGAGCCCGGTCGGTGCGTCTGCAGGAGACCCCAATTCAAGAGCAGTGGGAAGGCTGCACTGGCAGGTAGCTACAGACCCCATATGTCGGTTTTGGGGAGAACTAATTTACTATATACGTAAAAAGAAAAGTGTTGCTTGTAATGCTCTCTACGGACAGAGAAGTGTTTTCACGGCTTTTTCAGGGCTGAGTTCTCAAAGCAACAGAGCTGCAATCCTAATTTGCAGCCGTTACTGCTACTGCAGCACAGCCCGGTGCCCGTGCATGCCGACGGCCCAGCTGACCATCCGTACTGCACAGAGCGTAGCAAGCAGAGGCTGTGCACAAATCGTTATAAAACGTGGTGCAGCTTTGAGCTTTTGTTGTGTTGCAGACCAGGCCCCTCGTGGCACTGCAGAGCGGTGCTGGCACACCAGTGTTCCCCGCGGTATGGGGGTGGCCGGGCAGGCGCTATGAGAGCCGGGAAGCAGCACTGAGCGCAACGGGGAGCGAAACCCTCCAGCTGAGTTTCGCTGCCCGGATCGACTGAAATGCGGAGAGAAAACAGATAACAGCAGTGAAGAAAATTAAGGGAGATGGTGAAACAATCTCCACCTTAATGATCTGCTGTGCCACCAGCCACAAAATTCTGAGTATGAATGAATTCTGTGGTGCGGACCAGGCATTGCCTTGCTGCCCACCGAGCCCCAGTTCCTCCCAGCGCCCCAGTCTCCGGCCGGTACCAGGACCTGCTCTGGGGTTCAGGTACTTACTCGTAGGCTTCTGCGTCCCGAAGTGCAGCTCCAGGTCAAGGTATTTGACCATATCACTCAGCTTGTCGTAATCCGAGTCTTCCCCAAGCTGCAGGAGGAGGAAGAGTCAGGAGCCATGCCGGCGCAGGGGACAGCCCAACACTGCCCGCCTCCGCTGGGCCACCTTCCCTCCGCCCCACACTAAACTCTGTGTCCCTAGAAGAAACCACGACAGGTTGATGGCACTGTCCTGTAACGGGAGACTCAGCCATCATAGACCCTGCGCAGAAGCCAGAGCCTGGTGAACCGTTCACCTTTGTGGAGGCAGTTTCTACACCAGGCACTAAGCCAGTCTGGTGGGACCCGTTCTCATTTCAGAAGAAAGGAAGAAACCCGGAGATTCACCCCGTCGGCATTTCCTTGCACCCTGCAGCTGGTGGCACTGCCCTGCGGAGTCGTTTAGCTTCTGACACAGCTGGAATCCTACAGAGCACTACTGCTCTTCACTTGCTACTTGGGCACGTTGCTTTACTGACGGACAAAGTGGGAATTCCAGAAACTTCGGGAATTTTTTGCATACAAAAAAATCACTGGGAAGAACCGTCTTGTTCTCCGGAGTGCCGGGCAGAGGGACCTGCAGGATTTCAAGTGCTTGCTACGTGGTGGGAGCCTGCGGGACTGGAAGATGATCCCACAGCTCCCCTCTAGCTGCTCAGGGCACGGAGAGTATGGCACATCTGAACACATTCATCACCATGAGAGACGGGGAGGCTGGAAGTTAAACTCCAGGGAGGATTATCACATCTAGCCTCACTCCTTGCCTCTGCTCTCCCCCTCTGGTGTCCTCCCCTGCCTCGGTGCTCTCCCCATCACTCTGCTTTCAACCATCCGCACGGTTTCCCACTGATAAAACCTCCTACAGCTGCAGAACGTGTCTGAAGGCAGCTCCTGCCTATGTCAACCCACAGAGAGCAGGAAAGCAAGCGTTCCCCGGGACGCTGCAGGAAAAAAAAACGCATTTCAGGTGCTTTCCAGAGCCTCTTCTCATCCCGGCAGTTTTGGTCCATACAATTAAAAGGATGAAAAGAAATATGAGGCTTTCTGAAACGTGGCATCTTCGTTACCTTGGCCAAGGTATTGAATGTGTGGCCCAACAAGAGGTTAGGACGCAATGCTCCGGGGAGGGGACAGCCCCCCCAGCGCTCTGGGCGGGGAGGACGGCAATGCCCGTGGATGCTCCCACCGACCTGCACAGGCAACCGCTCCCCAGACCGTGGTTTGGACCCTCTCCCCGCTCCCCGCGCCCCGCGCCCGGGCTGTACCTGACCCCAGATGGTCCCTTCTGGGGTCTCCACCT